AGCCAGAAACTGCTGGGAAGAGCTGGCCAGGAACTTTTGACTGAAGTGCCTGATATAAAGTGCCCTCCCAGAAGAATCACAAAACTGAGGACAAGCATGGGGCATACGCATTTTCCTTGCCTTTTCTAATGCTGCTGCCTGCAGACTTCCACTTCTGTTTTGTTTTGGCTTGTTTTTTCAGCTTGCCCTAGAAAACAGAACTTGTCTGGAAGAAGAACAATTTAGTTTTCACGTGCAGCTCAGACTTTTAATCTCACTTCGCCCCCTTCTACGGCACTGAAATTTCTTGCACAAAATGGTGCCATTAGCCTCACTCTCCCTGGCCAGGTAGTTATTTAGGATTATATATTTGATCATACACCTAACCGCAGGTCTTGGCTTCCCCTGTTTTCCTTAGCTTCCCTCTCTTCCTCTGCCAACTTTTTCCCTTCTGCAGAATCTTTAATGCCTTCTTTTTCATCTCCCCTCAGCTGTTTGTGGGATATTGGGATGCTCTTCCCTTTATATCCTTGTTTGTGTCTCCAGCCTGTCCCCATACAGGAGACTTTAAAATTGCTTTGACTTTGCTTTGCCTCCATCAATCAGAATGAAAATCTTGTCTTGAAAATCTTGTCAAGAAAACAGTGATGTTTTCTTGAGAATGATCAGTTACCAGTAGGAGCTTAGCAGGGTTAAGGGAGATGTTGATGGTTTCTCTGCACCACGGTGGCAGCACTTTCCTTGATTGCTTATGACTCAAGCCCACTTTCTGCTTGTTCCTCTCACTGCATTCTCAGGCCTGTCTTGCAGGGAGTGCTCTGTATAAAGTATATTCATTGTAACTTTTCCTAACCATTTTATATCTAAGGTTTTCTGACCCACTGTCTTGAGTCTTGCCTACTGGAGCATTCTTTCCTCTGCTCTCAAACAATGCAGTGTCACTCCTTCAGTCTGGGCAGGGGAGCTGCTGCAAGGGAGCTGCTGCCAAGACACTGTGTCCTTGTTTGAGGAAAAAAAATCAGTAAAAGTGGCTTCATCCTGGCTCAAACCAGGACACACTGGGAGCTGTACTGACTTCCTTTCCCAGACCCTCTGGCCTCCAGTCATGCAGGTGTGAGCCCAGGTCACTGCTTTAAATATATATATAAATATATATATGTAATTAACTATATGCAAAGCTTTGCTGTAAACTAGGTTTGTTTGTACCGTGGGCATTTGGGCTCTTTGAAAACCTGCCTGTGGCTGTCACTGTGGCAGCTGTAGCTCTCTTGAGTGCCTTTGAAAGATAGGTCCTCATGAACTTTTGTCAGTGCAGATTGCATTTGTTGGAAACTCTGGCTCCATTTCTGCTCATGAGTAGTGTAGGAACGTAAATTTCATTACCTTTCAAATAGGTTTAGCTACCTTTGAAAATTTTACTGGTAGATCTCTTTTACAAATCTCCTCCATTGTCCACAATTAAAGAGCAAGAAGATTGTCTCTTTGAGGCTGTCATTTAGAGGTTGGATAAAGGCTGAGAGCTGGAAAAAAGCATCTATTGAAAGTATCTGTGGAATCTCTCATTGTCCAACAGAAAAGCATTATAATGCAGCACCAGGCTCAGGAGACCTGCATTATTCTATTCACAAGTCTGCCAACAGTCTGTTAAATAACTGCCAGTCACTTCTGGTTTTGTGTGTGTATTAAGGTTACTCGCTGGTAAAACATAGGTATTGATGTTTACCCTCCTTTGGAGAAAGGCTTAGGAGCTTGAAATGAACACTACAGCAGGGGTGTCTATGCTCATACAAATGCCTGGCCATTTTGCCTGCTTCAGGAAGATAAATGCTAGTGTTACGATTAAAAAGATACGTAATTTATAATAAAGATAACCTCTCCTATGCAATTTTGACTAAAGATAAAAACATCTTTAGGAAATATCCTTACCATTTCTAAGTTACTTCTGGGGAATGTCCACAGACTAGGCAATTGTGAATAAAATTTTTGTCCTTCATGTTGGTAGTAACCATCTGTCCTGTAACAGTTTATTATGTCTGACATAAATAAAGAATATTTTTATTATCTAAAGTAAGTTTCAATCTTTACAGAATCTGGGTCTTGAGGTTTTTACATTTTCTCTTTTCAGCATTTATCTTTATAATTTCTCATTCTCTGTGACCAAAAGAGGTTGTCCTAAAACCTGAATCCTGGGTTTGTCAAAACCAAAAATGAGAAAGCTGTAGCTGTAGACTTGACGTGCTTCCTGGAAAGAAATATGAACCTTGCAAAGGCAAAGGCAAAATGAGTCCTCCTAGAAGTCATAAGAGTTTATTCTGTCACTGATGGAGACACCTGATGCTTGGTAATCTGCCTGCACTCATCTCAAAAGAAGAAAGGGGCAACACCTCCATTAGCTGGAAGGTAAGACGTGGTTCCAGCTTTACTTCCCTTTCCTCACTCTGGTTCCCCACATAGTTTTCTACGTAGCAGTGTGAGAGACTTCAGTGCAGAACCATTTATACTGTGATGAATGATGGCTTACTGGTTCTGTTAGAAGGGGTTTGGCATGCAGATCACTATATGGTCCATCTGGAAGAATAAAAGTTCACTATGAGAGCTAGAGCTCTGAGTGGTGGGTTTACAAATCACAGAGTCACTAAGTCATTTGAATGGGAAGGGACCACGGGAGATCTCAGGTCCCACCTCCTGCTCAGAGCAGGTCACCACCGACTGCTGACCAGGCTGCTAAATGTGGGGGTCCATCAGGATTACAATGAATGGATGTTCCCACTTCCTCTCGCTTCCTTTCCACTTTATCCCAAAGCTCGGAAGGCAAAAAGGAGGAAGTGTGCATCCCATTGTCATGCAGCCCCTCTGATCAGACTATCCTGGGGAAGTTCTGGGAGAGGTGTCCCACCGTGCCAAGGGGCTGAGCTGCTTCAGTAGCTCCACGGTGCCTTTCTGTGTCTTTGGCCCTTCCTGCTGTGCCGAACATGGCACTGCCTCCCCCTGGCTTCTGCCCAACCTGGCAGCCTTGCACAGAGCTGGCCCTGACCCACCGAAAAGCTCTTGCCTGTGTGCCCTGAGCAGGCTGTGCACAGTAGCTCTACGTCCTCTACTTTTAACCGTGGCAACCTCAGGTCTATTTTTAAAAGCAGGCTTTTGGAGGGACAGAATACCAGAAAATTTGGCTTCTCTTCTGTCCCCTCAGGCTCTCAGCACAACTCTCTCTGGTGTGTTTGGCCTTAAAAAAAAATATGTAAGGAGCCCTACTTAAAGTTAAGGGTACACATAAGTCCTTTGTTGACTTACAGTGACCAGTGGCAAAGCAGCTGAAAACACTGACCCAAGTCACAAGAAAGAGGCAGAAAAACAGCTACTTGAAGTCTCCTGCTCAGAATCCCGTCCTGGGACACAGCTCCTGAGTGCCTGGAGATTTTCCAGATGGTTGTCCTGAAATGCTTCCTTTATCTAGAAACCAGTGATCACACTTGAACGTCTGATTTGAATCACCTCTCCCCTTGCTTCCAAGTAATTCTAGCAGTCAGCAAAACATTACTGTGCCTGCAGAAATGAACAGTTGCAAAGGAAATGTAAATTAAAGCTTTATTTAATTCTGCAGGCTGGTTTCCAGATTAACTGTATTTGTCCACAGTCCAGAAAGTCCTTGTATATAATCATAAGCAACCTATCTGTTATAAAGCAGTAAGGCATCAGTAATAGTTATATCTTAATTAAGCTCTACGAAAGGGCATTTTCAGACTGTTATAAGCCAAGCAAGTTTCTCTCTGCTGCATCCAGACAGGCACTACCTATAGTTGCCAGTATGATGGGTACCTCATAAAGAGAAATTATTGCATTGAACAGTAAACTTTGTCCCTTGAGATTGTTACCTCCAAATGAAGACATTAACAAAAACTGTGCAGAGTTCAGGCTTCCCTGGTTGACCGCAGCTGCGTGGTGTTGGTACTCATTTGCCTACCTTAGCTGCAATGTTGATTTTATCTTAATTGGCTTTATTCAGTTCCTTTGCCCTGGGGGATGAACTTGGCTTCCTGTCATTATTCTCTTTCAATGGGACAATTGAACACCAGAGTGCAAACAAGACGCGTGTGTGTTCTTATTTAACAAGGTGCGATTGCTTTGCTGATCACATTATTTGCAGAATGAAGTAAAGGAAGTTGTATTATTATTATTACTATTATTATTACTATTAGTTATTTATTCATTCATTTAATTCCATCGAGAGAGCCGGTGGATTTCATCTCACGACCTATAAAGGAGCAGAGATTTTAAAATTATTATTTATTTATATATTTACCCATCTAAAGAGTTAACGGTGACAGCGGTGGGCTCCCAACCCCTCCCCAGCGCCGGCAGTGAGGAGGCTGCCCAGCAGGTGGCTGGCATTCGCCGGCGCTCGTCACCGCAGTCATTGAAGCCAGCCCGTTCTCTCTCATCCTGGGAAGCAGGGGAAGAATTGACGTCCAGAAGCTCCTGCCTATAGGATCCCAGCCGTCAGCCGAGCCCTGCTTGCTCCGCGCTTTGGATCCAGCCGGGGAGTGAAGGCGCCGAAAGGCGGGAGAGGTTGGCGATGCAGCCTGACAGCAACTACCAAAAGTTCTTCTTGCTTTTTGCACTCGCCTCGTTTCAGATTCGGCGCTGCTCGGACGACCTGAAGCTGGGAATTTAGCAAGCCTGGATTTTGAAAATGCCTCCCGCTTACTGGTCTTTGAATTTTATAAATGGCTTTCCAGAGCTCAGGAATTCCAAACAGGGTGACAAGTCAATGAGGAAGGAGCCAGTTTCAGGATTCAAAGTGTGCTAAAAGATGTTCTCCTTTCACCTTATGGAAACAGCACTGTCGAGCAAGCTGCAGTTGCTTTTTGGTTTGTGTAATGTCGAGTTGTGTCACAAAGTGCTATGACTTAAAACTTTTCTGACTGTTAAAAGCCAGCAAGCGGCAGCAAAATTGCAGCAAGAAATTCATCTGAGGATTTCCAAAGAAGAAGGCTGTCTCCTGAGAAGAGCAAAGTAGGACAATGGCATCTGGTGAGTGCTTTCTGTTAGACCTAGAAGCAGATAACTTCATTCTCTACAACGTCTCTGTCAACCAGAGTGCAAACCTCTCCCTGCTCAGTGACGACTGGTTCTACCCAGCATTCCTCTACGCCATCCCCACCATCTACGGGATCATCATCTTGATAGGCCTTGTTGGCAATATCACTTTGATCAAGATCTTCTGTACTGTGAAATCCATGAGGAATGTCCCTAATCTGTTTATCTCCAGCTTGGCTCTGGGAGACCTGCTGCTCTTAGTGACTTGCGTGCCCGTGGACGCCAGCAGGTACCTCGCTGACGAGTGGCTGTTCGGCAGAACTGGATGCAAACTTATCCCCTTCATACAGCTCACGTCTGTAGGGGTGTCAGTCTTTACTCTCACTGCTCTCTCGGCTGACAGGTAAGCTGGCTGCTGCTGTAGCCTTGGAAAGAAGACTGCATATTTATGACTCCATAAAATACACTCTTAGGAATGCATTTCTTCAAGTAACAAGTGTATTTTTAGCTTAATGAGGGGAAAAGAGAACAACTTTGGATAATTTCTGGGGGTTATGAGCACACAGCTTGAGGAGGAGGCAGAATGAACGTAGGATACTTTTTCTGGACTAAAGTGTTTGTGCACTTTAGCTAGCAGTCTAGTTAATTAAAAGAAAAAAAAACAACAAGTAGAACAAGCTAAAGACCACAGAGAGAAAATAGCCATTAATGAAGCTCTGTTCAAAGATAGCATGTCCCTACTTGCCAAAAAGATAATTGATCTGTATTTCATGAAGTGTGAAGGCACTGGAGCAGCAATTTGAAGTGCAGTTAAAATCAATTCTTTCTAGTAGCTTGCTTCCTTAGGGCTAATTACATGTGAGGCACTACTTCATGAAATATGTTCCAAATATTCAAATGAAGATGCTTGAAGCCAGGCAGCTCAGTTTGCTATAGCCAGTATATTTCCTTTTATTAGACTGTTTGCCCCTTATCCAGTCAAAACTAATCTGTGCTGGTACAGAAACTTTGTCTTTCAATAACGTTTGGTAAAAATAACATGTAATAGCTGTGCTATTTTAGAATATGTGAAAATAAGATTCGATTTAACAAATTATATGCTTGTAATAAGCCAGCTCTATTTTAGATTTCTGTGAAGCTTTGGAAAACCGTCTCAGAACATTCAGATTTAAACTCAAAAGACATTGTAACTTGAATGTTATTTGGAAAGATGAAGCCTACCTTTCTGGAAAGTTTTTAAGCATTTGGAAGACTGTTGGCTTTTATAGAAACTCCCATGTGCAACATGTACAGAAGCCAGGATATTTTGTTTCTAATTTGGGTGCTTCAGAAAAAGATAAAGGAATATATTGTCACAATCCTAAAGTTACAGAATCTAACAGAAGTACCAAGATTTCTTATGAAAAAAATTATTTATGTTTTGCTTTGCTCAAAAAAGAAGTGAAACTATCTTTGCTTTAGGTAGTCCCTTTCATGCCACTCTGTGTCTCTCCTCCTAACCTTCTGCTAATATCACACATTTTCATTCCTGAGTTTCATGTAGTGCCTAAACCCCACCCTTGCCTGCTCTCAAGAAAATAATTACTATTAGAAGAATAAGTACTTCCCCAGGAAACTCATCTTTCCAAATCTGTAGCGTAAGTTGTTTTAAGAAGTGTTAGGAAAACAAAAATGCACCATAAAGAAGATTGTTAGAGAGATCTGTTGCTGTCTGATCACGTGCCACATAAAATAAACATGACAAATGCTTTTATTGAGCAGCACATCAATAGTGTTTTTTGCCTGGAGTGAACAGACCAGAAAGCAGCAGCTGCAGCAATCGTGGGTTTTGGTGACTTTAAATTTTAAACTTCAGCTTTATCTAGATCCTGTTAACCATTGTGCTGCACAGGTAGTCAAACTTTACCACACTTTTCAATGCTACTTGGCTATAAGGGAGACAGGCATGCGTGTGGGAGAAGACTTTATGGGAAATATTACCTATTGTAGTGCATCTGTTGTCCTCTGCAGAAAACTTCTAGCTTTATTAGATCTCTGAATCTTAAATGCTGGACATTGAACTACAAATTACCCTTATCTGTCATGTTTACTGAAGTTTCTGTTTTGGTATATTAACAGTAGTGATGGGATAATTTTGTTACAAAATAATACAGTCTGTATTTTGTCAGCTTACAGCCCATTAGTCTATCTTTATTTTCTTAAAGCTGTCACCCTGAACTCTAGGGTACAAAATGTACAGGGAAGACTTCCAAGATGTGGGTTGACTGTGACCAGCATGGTGATGCATTCCTAGGTCAGCAGAGGGACTGGGCAGCCCAGTACTCTGCTGTGGGCCCTGGAGCAGGGAGATGCTGAGCCTGACATCTGGGGTGCTTTCATAGACAAGCATTTGACAGGTTAGACATGGCATTGCATGAAGCATGAGTGACAGCTCAGCCCTGCAGGGGAACACCTGCAGAAGACAGGCATGGTAGAGAGACCAGGATAACATGACAACTCAGGAGTACAGCAGGTGACTGCTCAGGCATGGCTCATCTCACTTGGCTTTTGCTGCCTGAGGTGAGGAGCCAGTCCAAGATAGTCAGCAGGTGTCCCCTGGTCCATTGAAAGAGGCACTTCCAGAGGAGACAGGACAAATCACACATAAGGAAACCTGTCATCCTCCTTGAGTAGTGAGGAATCCTTGCCATTTAGCATTAATTAGATGCCCATATTTGAGATGACTGATATTCGGTGACGTAAACCTATCTGAGGTGCTCTCATGAGGCATGTGAATGTCCCTGTTCTCATGAATCAAAGCCATGGACCCTGGGAGAGAAGAACATAAACCATCTGCTGTGAATAGCATCACATGCCATGTGTCCAAGGAAAGGGAGACTTGTCAGTGCTTAACAGACCTTTTGTCTATAGTTCACCTTCTACAAAAAATAATAATAAGCCCCCATCAGTTCCAGTCTTCTTCCTGTAACCAAAATAAGTCGTAACAACTGCCAGCATTACTGAACATATTGTGGTGATGCCTCAAGAGACCCAGCATCACAAATCTGCTGTGTGAAGAAAAGCATTGGAGTGTGATACAACAGGATCATTTCCAAAGAGGTAACCATCAAAGCACAGGATGAAAGGCAAAGGTGAAAGTGTGATGGACAGATACAGTATGTCAAAGAGCAGTGAGGCACATATGCTACCTGTTACAACAGCTGTACAAATCATCTGGGTTTCTTTGGGTCACCTTTGCCAGTTTGAATAGATTTTTGCACAGCCCACATCATGGGCACGAGGATGTACCTTCCCCAGGTACACTTTTGTTCTTCCCGTTTCCTCTTACCCATGTGTAAGGCAGGGTTAATAACACCAAATATGTCACCTGCTGGTGACTGCAAACTCTCAGCTAAGTGCCAACCTCCACCACAGAGCACCTCAGGCTGCTCAGTGGTTTGACCTGCTGAGACCTGGTGGTAGTCCAGTGGATCGACTGCTCATGTGTAAACTTTCTTGAAGTAGAAACAGAGGAACAAACTACTGATTTCAGCTTTTCCTACAGTGGGAGCCTCTGCATGCACCCTTGGAGAGTGCTCTGCATGCATATGCACACACAAGCATGCCTGAGGAGGTTTAGTTAGGTGGGGCATAGGCAAAGGGTCCCTGGCTGCCTCTGTGTACAGTACTGAGGTCCCATCAGATGAAGGTTACATTATTCAAGAGTGTGTGGGAGAAAGGGCAAAGAAGAATTAACAATATTAGAAATGTATTTTCTGTGTGACTGCTTCCCTGGCTGCAGAGAGCTTGCATCTGTCCAGCTGCTTTTGCAGGAGCAGTGGGAGCTGTCAGTGAGACCTGTTTTCCTGCGAGCATGGCAAACTTGCAGAGGAGCCAGGAGAGGGTTAAGGCCCATGCTGTGCCTACAGCCACCCTCCTGAGCGATAAGGTGCCAGGGCTGAGTATACAAGAGCAAGGAAACAAGCAGTGGACGTGTGTGCATGCTCGTTTGTGTGGTTTAGAAGGACTGCAAATGAGGCTGAGGAGGGCAGGACATCTGTCTGCCCTGCTGCTCTGCTCTGTCGAGGCAGCGGGTGTCTTCAGCTGCTGCTCAGCTCTGTCCTGAAAAAGAGGGAGTTTGAGTTGATCCACTGGCCTCCTGCTCCTCTGTTTGAGGGGAAGGGGTGTAGAGGTGCCTGTGAGAGCAGTCACACCTGGGCCACTAGTCCAGGCAGAAAAGCCAAGGCTGGCTCAGCAAGTGACAGGAAATTAAGGAAAATCTTTGCTCAGTAAGAGGAAAGCAGCCCATTTAATTGCCCTTGTCATGGGAGTTGTCTTTATTTAATTGACTGTTTCTCCCCTGAGTGACACAGCTTATACATTTGCATTTGAATTAACCAAGCTGTCAGGCACTGCTTATACTTCCCCACTGTTTTGCTGAGATAGATAAAAAATCGAAATGTCCTGGTGCTCATGCAGTGAAACCTCCCTGAAGTAACAAGCACACAGTAGAGTAAGTGCACAGCGTAATTGAAGTTTGCAAGGAGCCTCTTTACTTTAAGCACCTTGGATCATCTGGATTTTAGTGCAGGACAAGTGCAGCAATGCCTGCCACCTGGAGCTGCCTTCTGGCCTGTGGTGGAAGGGAGTGAGGGCATCGTGAGACACACGGGGTGACATTACAGGTGAGGTTAGGTGGCTTACCTTGGTAAGACCAGCTGCAGGCAAAGGGAATTGCAGTCACATGGGAGCTCTGGGGCCTGAAATGGGGACATTAGCTTTGGAAATGTTGTCCTCATTGCTTGGATGCAGGGATGCTGTGGTGCTTTCAGCTGTGCTGTGTCCCTTGGAGCAAGCTACAGCCACAACTTTTGATGTTCCTCCGAACTGATATGACAGTTTGTTTTTATAAGAAATAAAAAAATTCAAACAACCCTCTCTCTCAAAAACACGGTGGTGGAAGGAAATAAATCTAGAATTTCTAGCAGGATGTTTTTAAATATGCAAAAATCTTTGTTTGGTAGACTAATCTCTTCTGTGACTTGGATGTTTCCAGTCCCTACTATTACTATTATGTAAGAACACCAAAGAAAAAATAATGTCTACATGTCAGTTGTTTTATTTTACAATTGCTGGATTATGTCTCTACAAGAAGATTAAGGGAAGTGTGCCACTGTAAAATAAAGCTGTGGAAAGCCAAACCATTGAGTTGATTTACAGAGTGATTTATTTTTTTTATTATTATTATTTAAAATACAATCAGTTGTAAAGTGTCAGGTCCATAGTGGTTAAGGCTTTATTCTGGGCAGCTTAGCCACAGCATTAATGAAATCCCTTTCAGGTCACTAAGGCACTATTTTGGGGCAATTTACTTGTGCTGTAATTTACTGTGAAGCCTCAGAAAGGTTTTGAAAGGATGGTGGA